GGGGATGGTGACCCCGACGCCCCCAGCCTGAGATGAAAGGGACCCCCCATTCCCACCCCGCACTGGGAAGGGGCAGAGTCCCTACCTCCAGCTCTGCTGCACCTCCCCTGGGGGGGGACTGGCCCACCCCCAGCTCCACCCAGGGCCCCTCCTGTGTCCAGCTCCTGAGTCCCAGGGGACGTCCTTCCCCACCCCCCAGGCTCTGTCCCTACACTCTGGGTCTCAGGAGGAACCGGTTTTCTCTGGTTCCCAGGACCTGCGTGGGGTCAAGGGAAGGGGCTTTGGGGACCAAGAGTCCATGGTCCCCCACCCCCAGTGTGGCTCTGTGGCTGGCAGGTACCCACGATGGCCTGGATTACTCCCGAGGAGGACAGCCCCTCCCCCCAGCCCCCCCAGCCCCCACCCCCGTTCCCCCGGGAGGAGGCACAGACCTCAACGGTTTCTCCTTCTGAAAAGACCCCCAAGTGCTGGCAGCAAGGGGCGCTCACCCTAACACACACAGCCCGGCCCAGCCATGGACAGAGACCCCCACGGCCACGTAGCCCAGCCCAGCCGTGGACACCCGGGGCACTGTCCTCCCACCAGCACTTGGGGTTGGGACCCCGACGCGGGTTCCTTCTTTGGAGATGCTGTGTCAGGGATACAGGGAGGTAGATGACTTCCAGGAAGGCAGGAAGGGCCCACGAGCTGCCCTTCCCCCTCCCTCCCCACCCCTCCCCGGCCGGCTGCCGAGCTTGACTGAGGTGGCTCAGGGCTGCCCAGGCAGAGGCCACGCTGTCCTGTCCCGGGGGGACCAGTCTGCAGCCTGAGCGAACCGAGAGCGTTGGCAAAGGCCCCTGGGGGCCCCTGGGAGGGTGGGGGGCACGGGGAGGGGGGCAGAGCTTCAGCTCCACCCCTGCAACGTCCCACCCACCTGCCCACGTGTTTCACTTCTCACCGATTCTGCAGAAGAGAGTCTGAGGCCCCAGTGGTTTTTCGGCCACACCCAGAAAAGGGGGGCAGTGGGGTGGGGGGTGTGCCTTCGAAGAACCCCCACCCAGCCCAGTTCCACTCAGGCAGGACTCAGGGCCATATTCAGCCAGCTGGGGCCCCAGAGCTGGGGGGAGGGTCTGCCCGAACTTGGTCGGGGTCCTGCATGCCAGGGATGTAAGGGGTGGGCAGTTCTGGGTGTGAGGTTTTTCCAGAACTGACTGACTCTGGCCCCTGGGCGTGCCCCGTTCTCTGGCTGGTGCTGACGAGGGGGTCTTGAGGCTCAGGAGTCTTCGGTGAAACCCCCTTGATTCTGCCTCGGAAACGCACACGGATTTGGGTTCATTAAACGCCCTCATGGGGCAGGGGGCTGGAGCGATAGCACAGCGGGGAGGGCGTTGGCCTGGCACACGGCCGACCCGGGTTCGATCCCCGGGATCCCATAGGGTCCCCCGAGCACCGCCAGGAGGGATTCCTGAGTGCAGAGCCAGGAGGAACCCCTAAGCATCGCCAGATGTGATCCAAAAAGCAAAAATAAATAAATAAAAATCTAAAAAGACAAGAACACAGACTTAGCATGTGCAAGTTTCTGGTTAAAAAAAAAAAATTTGTAAGTACCCATCAATGGGGAAATGAAAAAAAGGGGGAAAAAAACCACAAAAAAACCTGTGATCTGAGGGCTGGAGTGATAGCCCAGTGGAGAGGACGTTTGCCTTGCATGCGGCCGACCCGGGTTCGATTCCCAGAATCCCACAGGGTCCCCTGCGCACCGTCAGGAGTGGTTTCCTGAGTGCAGAGCCAGGCGTCAGCCCTGAGCATCGCTGGGTGGGACCCAAAAAGCAAAAAACAAACAAAGGAAAAACATAGGGGGCAGGAGCGATGAGATGGTGGGTAGGGCAGTTGCCTTGCACATGGTCTACCTGGGTTCGATCCCCTGCACCCCTGAGCACCGCCACAAGTAATTCCTGAGTGCAGAGCCAGGAGCATCACTGGGTGTGGCCCAAACAGTGGAAAAATAAGGACGACAAAAAACAAAACCCCCATTATGGATTGTGTGAAGCTCAGAGTCGCAACAGCAGCTTCTCCTGGGCTGGGTCAATCCCTGGCACCGCCCCGGCCCCAAGCAAGGTGGAGAGCAAGGCCCCTGGCTGGGGTGCCCCCAAACATGGAAAAAGTGTATCATGTTTTCTTCTAATTTTTTTTTGGCCTTTTGGGTCACGTCCGGCGATGCTCAGGGGTTACTCCTGGCTCTGCACTCAGGAGTTACTCCTGGCAGTGCTCAGGGGACCAGGTGGGATGCTGGGAATCGGACCCGGGTCGGCCATGTGCAAGGCAAACGCCCTCCCCGCTGTGCTATGGCTCCGGCCCCTCTTCCACATTGAAGAAATACCCCCTCACCCTACATTTCTGTGTGGCTCGGCGCGAGGCTTGAGGCAACTTCTTTGGCCCGTGGAATAGGAACGGGACCCGTCTCGTGACGTTTAAGGATGAGAAACGCCCTATTTCTCCCCGGCTGCCTTGCAGAGATGGTGAGTGTGTGTGTGTGTGTGTGTGCACGAGTGTGTATGTGTGTGGGGCGTCTTTATGTGTCTGTGTGTGTTTGTGGGTCTGCGGGCAGCATCTGTGTGTGTGGGTTTGTGTGAGTGTGTGTGGGTCTGTGGCGGGGGGCTATGTGTGTGTGGGTCTGTGTGTGCCTGTATGTGTGTCTGTGTGTATGTGTCCATGTGTGTGTCTGTGTGTGTTGGGTGTGTCTGTGTGTGTTTGTGTGTCGGGTGTGTGTGTCTGTGTCGGGTGTGTGTGTTTCTGTGTGTTTGTCTGTGTGTGTTGGGTGTCTGTGTGTGTGTCAGGTATGTCTGTGTGTGTGTCGGGTGTGTATGTCTGTATGTCGGGTGTGTGTGTATCTGTGTGTCTGTGTGTGTTGGGTGTCTGTGTGTGTGTCAGGTATGTCTCTGTGTGTGTTGGGTGTGTGTGTCTGTGTGTTGGGTGTGTGTGTCTGTATATTTGTCTGTGTGTATGTTGGGTGTCTGTGTGTGTCGGGTATGTCTGTGTGTGTGTTTGTGGGTCTGTGTGGGCATCTGTATGTGTGGGTTTGTGTGAGTGTGTGTGGGTCTGTGGCGGGGGGCCGTATGTGTGTGGGTCTGTGTGTGTCCGTATTTGTGTCTGCGTGTGTGTCAGGTGTGTCTGTGTGTGTCTCAGTGTCTGTGTGTCTGTGTGTTAGGTGTGTGTGTCTGTGTGTGTTGGGTGTCTGTGTGTGTCAGGTATGTCTGTGTGTGTGTTGGGTGTGTGTGTCTGTGTGTTGGGTGTGTGTGTCTGTGTGTATGTTGGGTGTCTGTGTGTGTCGGGTATGTCTGTGTGTGTGTGCACGCGCGTGTGTGTATGTGTGTGGGGCGTCTTTATGTGTCTGTGTGTGTGTTTGTGGGTCTGTGTGGGCATCTGTATGTGTGGGTTTGTGTGAGTGTGTGTGGGTCTGTGGCGGGGGCCGTATGTGTGTGGGTCTGTGTGTGTCCGTATGTGTGTCTGCGTGTGTGTCAGGTGTGTCTGTGTGTGTCTCAGTGTCTGTGTGTTAGGTGTGTGTTGGGTGTCTGTGTGTGTGTGTGTGTGTGTCGGGAATCCGCTGCCCCTCTGCTCTCCCGGGGATTCCTGCCGTGCCTGGGGCCGCTCCGGGGTGGGGGCGGCCGCACCCTCGCCTGCTCTGCGTCAGGGAACCTCCGTCCGTCCGGGCGCTGGGGAAACCCTCGGTTTCTCTGCCGGCTTCTAGGAACCCTCCCCCCGGGGGAAGCCCCTCCCGCTTCCTGTCACCCCCGGGACCAGACCCTGGCACCGGGCGGGAGGCAGGGAAGCCCAGGGTGGCTCCTGGATGCTCCCGTCTGGGTGCTCCCGGGGCCTCTCGAAGGTGGCCTTCCTCCCTCCTGCCCCCACCACACCACACACGGTCACATGCTTGTACGCACACACACACTCTCATCGTCACACACACGTTCCCTGTCACACGCTCACACTCACACACGTTCATTGTCACACACACATGCTCATCGTCACACACACACACCAGGTACAGACACACACACTCACTGTCACACACATTCACATAGAGGCACACTCATACACTCACACATGCTCACTGTCACACACTCACACACCAGGCACACACAGGAGCTCACACACAGTCACACACACGCTCATTGTCACACACACTCACACACCAGGCACACACACACTCACTGTCATACACACTCACACAGAGGCACACTCATACACTCACACATGTTCACTGTCACACACACACTCACTGTCACACACTCTCACACACCAGGCACACACACAGGCACTCACACACACTGTCACACACAGTCACACACACTCACACACCAGGCATGCACACATACGGGCACTCACACACACAATCACACACACACACTCCCTGTCACACGCACACACCCCCGAACGGTTCTAGAACTCTCTGAACAACCTCAGACTGGCCGCAGTTCCTGTCCCAAGCCAGCTTAGCTCTGCGAGGCCTCGTGTCCAGGGGCTGCTGACCAGGTCCTGGGTCCTGCCCTCGGGGCGCTCCTGGGGCTCACCAGACTCAGGGCCCCTCCCCCTTCTCCTCTCTGTGCCCCCCTGTTCGGGGCAGGTGCGCTGGCGTCCACTCCGCAGTCCAGCAGCTGCCCACACTGTCCTGTGTGTCTGTGGAACCAGAAACACGTGTGCTCTGTGTACGCGTTAGCAGCCAGTCTCACGTGTGTTTCCGCGTGTGTCTGTGGCTTTTCTTTTTTTTTTTTTATTCCCCTTTTTCTTTGGGTCCCACCCGGCGATGCTCAGGGGTTCCTCCTGGCTCTGCACCCAGGAATCACTCCTGGCGGTGCTCGGGGTTCCATGTGCGATGCTGGGAATCGAACCCGGGTCAGCCGCGTGCTAGGCCAACGCCCTTCCCGCTGTGCTACCGCTCCAGCCCCCAATGTCTGTGGATTTTCTTGCGAGTGCTCAGGCAGAAGGAAAAACAAGAGAGAACCACTGTATTGGGGGGTTTGAGGGGCCACATCCGGTGTTGCTTGAGTCCTTGGTGGTCGCCGTGGGGACCCGTGTGGTGCTGGAGAAGGATCCAGGTTGGCTGCGTGGCTGGCACCACCTTTGGAGACACGCCCTCTGGCTGCAACCCAGATGTGGGCAGGGCTGGGTCAGGTCAGCAGGGCCTGGAGAGCCAAGGGCACCAGCAGCAGCAGCCAGGAGGCCAGGCCCAGCTCTCCCGGGGACTGGCCTGGAGGCAGCAGAGACGAGGTGTCAGGGAGTGCAGAGAGGCCGAGCCCCCTTTGTCCCTGCCGCAGACATGGCCTCCCGGGGAGGGAGAGAGGGAGGGATGCAGGGAGGGATGGAGAGATGGAGGGAGGGATGCAGGAAGGGATGCAGGGAGGGATGGAGAGATGGAGAGAGGGAGGGATGGAGGGAGGGATGGAGAGATGCAGGGAGGGATGCAGGGAGGGATGCAGGGAAGGATGCAGAAAGGGATGGAGAGATGGAGGGAGGAAGGGAGGGATGCAGGGAGGGATGCAGGGATGCAGGTATGCAGGGATGCAGGGAGGGATGGAGAGATGCAGGGAGGGATGCAGGGAGGGATGCAGGAAGGGGTGCAGGGAGGGATGGAGAGATGGAGGGAGGGAGGGATGGAGGGAGGGATGCAGGGAGGGATGCAGGGAAGCAGGGAGGGATGGAGAGATGCAGGGAGGGATGCAGGGAAGGATGCAGAAAGGGATGGAGAGATGGAGGGAGGGATGGAGGGAGGGATGGAGAGATGGAGGGAGGGATGGAGAGATGGAGGGAGGGATGGAGAGATGCAGGGAGGGATGGAGAGATGCAGGGAGGGAGGGATGGAGGGAGGGATGCAGGGAGGGATGCAGGGATGCAGGGAGGGATGGAGAGATGGAGGGAGGGATGGAGAGATGCAGGGAGGGATGGAGGGAGGGATGCAGGGATGCAGGGAGGGATGGAGAGATGCAGGGAGGGATGGAGAGATGGAGGGAGGGATGGAGAGATGCAGGGAGGGATGGAGAGATGCAGGGAGGGATGCACGGAGGGAAGCAGGGAGAGATGGAGGGAGGGATGATGGAAGGAGGGATGCAGGGAGGGATGCAGGGAAGATGGGAAGAGGGAGGGAGGGATGGAGGGAGGGATGGAGGGGAGGATGGACAGAGGGAGGCAGGAAGGGCTGGAGAGATGGAGGGAGGGATGGAGGGAGGGATGGCGGGAGGGATGGCGGGAGGGATGGCGGGAGGGATGCAGGGAAGATGGGAAGAGGGAGGGAGGGATGGAGGGAGGGATGGAGGGGAGGATGGACAGAGGGAGGCAGGAAGGGCTGGAGAGATGGAGGGAGGGAGGGATGGCGGGAGGGATGGCGGGAGGGATGCAGGGAAGATGGGAAGAGGGAGGGAGGGATGGAGGGAGGGATGGAGGGGAGGATGGACAGAGGGAGGCAGGAAGGGCTGGAGAGATGGAGGGAGGGAGGGATGGCGGGAGGGATGGCGGGAGGGATGCAGGGAAGATGGGAAGAGGAGGGCTGGAGGGAGGAGGGAGGCTGGTCCCTCCCTGCCAGCACCTGCTGGGCGTCCTCACCTGTGAGACAGCCGGCGAAGGTCACGGTGCTCTGGCTACTGCTCAGGGTGTCGTTGGCCTTGCACGTGTAGGAGGCGGGCATCGTGTGGGCGGGCACCTTGAGGATCTGGGACTTCGTCTGGCTCACGTTGGGCCCAGACCAGGTGATGGTGACCGAGGGGTGTGTGGGGACGAAGCAGGACAGAGTCAGGAAGCAGCCAGCACCCTGGGGCCGCAGGTCCTGGACCGTGATGACGGGCGTGGACACGGGGTCTGTGGCGGAGGGGGCGAAGGGACAGGACGGTGAGTGTCCCTACCTCTGCCCGCCCCCAGGGGAGCAGGGCTCCAGGGAGGTGCGGTGGCGGGCCGCAGCCAGCAGGGGGCTCCCGAGGCCTCCCTTTCTCTCCCCCGCATCCCTTGCTCACCGAGCACTGTCAGCCTGAGCCTCATCTCCTCATTGATGCCTTTTGTATTCAGCAGCTGCAGGATGTAGTCGCCACTGTCACTCTTCTGCAGGTTCCAGATGTGCAGGGCCTTGGTTTCGTCCAGGCAGACCCGTTCCCCCAGCCCCACTCTGAAGTACGTGGTGCCCTGGGGGCTGTGGAGTACGATCTTCCTCTTGGACCCGTAGAGCCAGGAGAGCTCCTGGTACTCGTCGGGCAGGTTGGGGACCGACAGGCGAGCCTGGCTGCCGGTCAGCGCCGTGACCGTCTCCACGGGTTGCTGACCTGACAACGAGGGTCCCGTGAGTGTCTGCCGGGGGGGCCGGGAGAGAGGGGGTCTTCCCCCCCCCCACCCAGGGCAGACCCCGGGGAAGCAGCGTCCGAGCGGAGCTGGGCAGACGGTCGCGTGGTCCTGGATGGAGGCCCTCGGGGGCCGGTGACCCTGAGGCTCGCTGACCCGGAGACGCCAGGGCAGGTGGCCCGGCCCGGTGCCAACTGCCCTGCAGAGCGCAGCAGAGCTGGACCCCGCAGGGCCGCTGCCGGGGCTGGGGGGGGTGGGCGGGGGGCGGCACTGAGCCCCCGTGAGGCTCGGAGACTCTGGGCTCTCCTGGGTGGGCGTGGGGTGGAGGAGGGGGGTCTGGGAGGGTGCCGGGAGGGACGGTCAGAGGCCCCCGCTGCCCCCGACTTCCAGCCCCACTTCCTCAGCCACTCCCGGGGAGAGGGGAGGGCACTGGGGCCAGGGCAGCTGCTGGGCTCAAGGGTGACCTCTGTGGGCAGCAGGAGGAGAGGCCGGAGGCAGCTGAGCGGTTCAGGGACCACGTTCTCCCCCCCCACACGCCTCTGACCACTCCCCACGCTGTGCCTGTATCCATGCACACATGCGCACTGCACAGACACACATGCGCACACACGCACACACATACACACACACACATACACACATGCACACACACATGCACACATATACACATACACACACAAACATACACACATGCACGCACACACACATACACACATACATACACAGACACACACATGCAAACACACACATACACACAAATACACACATACATATACATACACACAGACACATATGCACACACATGCATGCACACAAGCACACACATACACACACCACGCACGATGAGTGCACACATTGCGCACATACACACAGGCACACACACATGCATGCACACACAATCACACACATACATACACAGACGCACACATGCAAACACACACACATACACACAGACACAGACATATATGCACACACATGCATGCACACACAGACACACATACACAGACACACACACATGCAGACACACACGCACACACATACACACATGCATGCACACATACACACAGACACACACATGCAAACACACATGCACACACATATACACACAGACACAGACACATATGCACACACATGCACGCACACATACACACAGACACACATACACAGACACACACATGCAAATACACACACACATACATGCACAGGCATACACATATGCACATACATACATACACACACGAACACACACAACATACACATGCATATACACATACATGCACACACGTGCACTCACACACAAACATACACATACACACATGCACGCACACAAAAGCATACACATACACAAATACATACACAGACACACACACATGCAAACACACATGCGCACACAAACACACACATACACACATATGCAAACATACACGCACACACATACACACATGCACACACATGCACGCACACAAACACACACATACACATACCACGTACAATGTGTACACACATTTTACACATACACACAGGCGCACACACATGCATGCACACACAATCACACACATACACTTGTCGCACACATACACACATGCACATACACACACGAGCATGTACACGCACGCACACACATACAATCACATAAACACACACTCTGCATACCTTGTATGCACCCATCCGTCCGTCCGTCCATCCGTCTATACATACACGCATGTGAGCCTGGCGGGAAGGGGGTCCTTGGCGCCCTCGGGGTCCCCACAACAGCCTCTCGGTGCTGCTGGCCCCCAACCCCTTCCGCTGCCCGCGCGCAGGGACCCTGCTTAGCCAACCGGCTCGTTTCCGCCAGTCTCGGCAGTTTTGTTTTGGGGAGGGGAACAGGAAGAGGCAGAAAGAGGACGGCCTGCCTGGCCCGGCCAGTGGCCCTGTTGGCGGTCCCCCCCACCCTATTGGGATGGTCCAGCCGCAGCTTCTCGGGGTCTCTGGGGACTAGGCCTCGGGGTCCGGCTGCAGCTTCTCGGGGCCTCTGGGGGTTAGGCCTTGGGGCTCATCGTCTCGCTCCAATCACAGCACAGAGCCCGAAGCCACAGGGCTGAGTTACCTTGGCTGGGGGGCCGCTGCTCAGACCTGCCCCTGCTCTGGCCCCTCCCGGCCACCGCTGGGCACCAAGGAGAGCCGGTATCCTGCTAAGGTGGCAGCTCCGACCACGTGGGACCTGCTCGCGCCCCCCCCCCCCCACTTCCGGGGTGGTGGTGGATCTTACCTCGGGCTTCCAGGAACCAGCTGGAGAGCAGCAGATAGCCCAGGGCCAGGTGGTCCTGGCAGGGGGCAAGCATCCTAACAGGTCTGTCCAGCACTAGGCCTCGGGGCTCGAACGGGGCCCTGGCCGGAAGAGGCTGGGGGAGGGGTGGGGCTCGGTGGAGGCGGAAGGAAGTTCTCCCCAGGGGGCTGCAGGGTGCAGCTCAAACAGAACCGCAGTGGGGAACTGGGCGTCGATTCCAGGTGGGTGGGTGTGGGGTCTCTGTTAGCAATCTGACCTTTGACGGGGGCGTGGGGCATTCCGCCCGGGACCCCTGAGTCACAGGGGACTTGTGGGCGAGGCTGGGCGCAGTGTGGGGTTAAGACCACCAGGCCTGGCGGGAGTGTGGGGGGGTCTCGGCTCAACGCTCTCTCAGATTCCCGTCTTCAGTTTGCTCCGGGAAGCAGAAGATGGGGGTCTCGGGCTTCCCATGAGACCCGATTTAAGAGGAAGAGGAAGAAGGAAGTGATCTTGGCAGGGGGCATAGTGGGCGGGCACTTGGCCTTGAGTTTTGAGTGGGGGGAGGGGAACGGGCAAGATATTGGGGTGGGCGTCTCTGGTCATCACCCGGGTTCTGGGCTCGAAGCAGATTTGTGATGCGTGCTGTGGGCGTTCTCTGTAGCGGCATGTGCTTCTGACTCTATTGTCCTGCCCCTTCTTCAGCTTTGAACCCCAACTGCATCAGGGTTTCACAGAGAAACAGGTCATGGGTGAAGGAGTGGGTGTCTGGGGCAGTCCCGCCAAAAGGGTCCCCAGCCTTCTGCAGAAATAAAAGAGAATTCCTATGACTGAAAGGTTCCTACTTTTTTTTTTCTTTTTTTGCTTTTGGGTCACCCCCGATGATGCTCAGGGCTGATTCCTGGCTCTGCACTCAGAAATTACACCTGGCGGTGCTCAGGGGGACCCTACAGGATGCTGGGAATCGAACTCGGATCAGCCAGGAGTAACCCCTGAGTCTCACCGGGTGTGACCCAAAAGGGAAAAAAAAAGGAAAGAAAAAGATCATATTTACTCGTTCATATCATTCTGTTTTAGTTTGCTTAAAATTCCAGAGAGTCTCGGAGGAGAGAGAGTCTTGGGGGACCACATGTGGTGCCAGGGATTGAACCCAGGGTTGGTTGTATGCAGGGTAAGTGCCCTACCCACTGTACTATCTCTTAGGCCCCTAAACCTCTATACTTTCTGGTAGGATTTGTCCCCACCAGGGACCATGTGACAGGGTCTGGCTGGGTCCTCTTGGGGTCCCCCACTTGCCATACTGACATCTCGGTTCAGGACTATTTCCTTTCCAGTGGCCAAATTTTTCACGCTGGAAGGATCATTATAATGGAAATTTATTGTATGTATCTTTGGTTTGGCTGGAGCGATAGCACAGCGGTAGGGTGTTTGCCTTGTGCACAGCTGGCCGGCCGAGTCAGGTTCAATTCCTCTGCCCCTCTCCGAGAGCCCCCGGCAAGCTACTGAGAGTATCTCGCCCGCACGGCAGAGCCTGGCAAGCTACCCGTGACGTATTCAAGATGCCAAACACAGTAACAACAAGTCTCACAATGGAGACGTTACTGGGCCCGCTCGAGCAAATCGATGAACAACGGGAGGACAGCGCGACAGTGCTATCTTTGGTTTTATCGTTGATTTCTAGACGTCCTTGACAGAGATAATATTGCTTGTGGGCGAAAAGTTTTAAAACAGAAGTCCACCCTGTCTGCCCTTGGGGAGAACTTCCCTATTCTAAGTTCAGAAATACTGATCATAAGAAATTCTCCACCACCAAACTGATAAAACGCCATCATGTGTGCGTCCCGCGTAGCAAAATCATCATGAGTCTTCAGTCATGCCCTATTGTGTAATCACAAAATAATTTTTTCTTTTTGTGCGGCGTTGCGGGTGTCCGGTGGCTACGAGCCGCTTCCCCCACGCTGGTCTGCAGCCACCGCCAACAGACGCAAGAAGGAGGGAACGGGGCCCCTCATTCCCGTCTCCTCCTGTCCCCCGGTCTCTCTGCTCTGTCTAGGGCCTTGGTCTAGCACCCAAAGTCTAAGGTAGCCACTACACCAGGTGAGGTAGCACCATCAACATATGAAAGCCCTTCCTTCCCAGGGAAGCTCTTCTAAGATAAGACAAAGATCTCCTGCAACCAGAGATCCTGGGAAAAACAGCCTGCACTCTAGCCCTTTGTTCCTTGATTTGGTGCTCCAGCGAGCACCAGTAACGTCTCCATTGTGAGACTTCTTGTTACTGTGTTTGGCATATTGAATACTCTCGGTAGCTTGCCAGGCTCTCTGAGAGGGGCAGAGGAATTGAACCTGGCTCGGCCAGGTTGGCTGCGTGCAAGGCAGACGCCCTACCGCTGTGCTATCGCTCCAGCCCAAGATTTGCTTACCTCTGGATAATCTTTCTAGTCATTTTGTATGGACAATGTAAGAGATACATTGAGCTTATAGGATTGCTCGCCTGGGAACATCTCACTATAGGTCCCTACAGTGCTCAGACCAGATTAATCTTTCCTAACCCTAGCAGGGTCCTAATCCACTTGTTACTCTTTGGATCTTGGCAGAATTTGTCCATGGCCGTGATCTTGAGGTAGGCAGGCAGGCAGGCAGATAGGGAAGGCCCCCTCCCAAGGCAATGGCAGTCAATCTCTCGGGAAGCATGTAGGATCTATGTAGGCCTTCACTGGCCGTTACAGCAAAGCCCGCGCATTTCATAGCCAATAGATTTGTAACAACATATACTTTCTTGACCAATCCATTTGAAAGTACATCACTCCTTAGCCTATAGATTCAAAGATCAGCATCTACGTACATAGGCATTGTGGCTAGTGGGCATCTGGTAACTCGGACATTTGGTTATCACCTGGCTTCCTTTGATTCTCAGCCCTGCATTCCTGTGGAGGTGGATAAGGGAAGAGTTCCTAACAGAGGTAATAGATAAGGAAGGGCCAACAAATGGTTCCCGAATTTACATCCCAACAGGGAAGAGTCAACAAATGGTTTTAACTCTGGAATCTCCCTCAGGGTCCCTAGGGACCTTTACATCATTTCACTGCTGGTCTACTCCTGAAATTCCTTTCTGCAGGCTGAGATAAGAACCCTATAACCCTAGGTCCCGGGTGGCAGAGGCAGATGGGGAGAAAGTGACCATCTTTCTCCTCCCCACTTCAGGTGGCCACTCTGGGGGCGCCCGCCGACATCACTCTTAACTTATAGTTAAGTATTTTGGTGCTTGGCCTGCCCGTTTTGTTGCCCTGGGTCTGTCCGGTTCCTCATCGGGACCCTGCTTTTGGGGTGCTAGGAACTAAGGGCATCTGAGACTTAAGTCGAGAAAACAAGATGCCCAGAAGTGAATATTATTTGGAGTCAATTAACTCCCAAGTTACAAAAGCATAGTGTTGACTGTCTTCCTGGGTCTATACAAAAAGGACATTGCTATAAACTATGCAAAGAACATACGAAAAGGAGAAAAGCAACGTTTCACTTACAAATCCAAATCCAGAGATTTCTGAGGAATCTGACTTTATCACAGGTACTGCTTAGGGGAAATAGGTGATTAACAGGTTGGGGAAGCAGGGCACAGAGAAGAGGTTAACACAGAGGCACAGAGGGTAGGGCGTTTGCCTTGCACGCAGCCAACATGGCAGACACGGGTTCGATTCCCAGCATCCCATAAGGTCCCCCGAGCACTGCCAGGAGTAATTTTTGAGTGCAGAGCCGGGGGGGAACCCTGAGCATCGCTGGGTGTGACCCAAAAAGCAGGGAGAAGCAACAAACCAGTGTTATCCTACAGCCTATAACAACAGCTCAGTCCCCTGAGCTTTTCGTTTTATTTTGTTTTGTTTTTTTTGTTTTTGGGTCACACCCGGCGATGAACAGGGGTTACTTCTGGCTCATTCACGCAGGAATCACTCCTGGCGGTGCTCGGGGGACCCTATGGGATGCTGGGAATCGAACCCGGGTCGGCCGTGTGCAAGGCAACTTCCCCACCCGCTGTGCTATCGCTCCAGCCCCAACTGCTGATGTCTTGACTACTCCTCGTTCTCCACAGTTTGTCTTCATGTACTCGGTTAAGCAAACGCCCGATTACAACTGTGTGGGACTCCCAGGTCCTCAACGGGTTGGATTTAATTGTTCAAGGATGTGCGACTTGCTGTCTCAGATTCCTTCTGCAGAGGGATCCCCTAGGGTGTCCCCGGGACATTCTGCTGAGCTCATTTAGCGATGACACCCCTCACACTCCCCCACGAGGGTGCCTTCCCGTCAACCCTCCACAGGCTCGCTGCAGGGAAGGGGCTAGAAATGCCGGGAAGTCACCCAAGGGAGAATAGAAACTGGAAGAAACACAAGTCACGGAGCTGATGCCAGGCAGAGAAGGCAGAACCCGCAGACCATCTGCGGGGACCCCCCTGTTGGCTTCCTCAGAACCCCCCGCATCCCCCTCTGGGTGGGGCAAGAGACCGTCCAGAGGCAGGACGAGATGCAGCCCTGGGAATAGGGCACATGAAACTGTCCCTCCTGGGTCCAGAAAGGGAACAGAGCAACTCTCAGTCGAGCTTGAGGCTGAAGTGCAACAGAAAGGTGGGTACGTCGGGGGTGAAGACCGCATCAGGGGATGAGGAGAAAAAAAGGGGATACTGCATCTCCTAATGATGTGTTGGCCGGTGGAAACACGAATGGTGACACTGGTCGATCTGGTTCTCGGTGTGCACAGAGGGTCTTAAGACAGAGGGGCCAGGGGCTGGAGCCATAGCACAGCAGGGAGAGCGTTTGCCTTGCACGCGCCCGACCCAAGTATGATTCCCAGCATCCCGTAGGGTCCCCCGAGCACCGCCAGGAGTAGTTCCTGAGTGCAGAGCCAGGAGGAACCCCTGAGCATCACTGGGTGTGACCCAAAAAGAAAAAATAATAATAATAAATAAAATAAAATAAACAGAGGGGCCGGTGAGGTAGATTGAGGGACTCTGCCCTGGGGCTCTGGTTCGGGTTGCAGTGTCCACCTTCAGGGACAAGAGTAGCCATCCAAATGTGACCCAAGGGGCTGGAGCCACAGTTCCACGGAGTAAGGGCGTTTGCCTTGCTGTGGCTGACCCAGGTTCAATCCCCGGCATCCTCCCTGGTCCCCCTAAGCACTGCCAGGAGTGATCCCTGAGCACAGAACCAAGAGCAACCCCTCAGCAGCACCGGGTGTAGCTCCCATCCCTCTCCCCAAATCCT